ACCAGCCCCCCCCCCTTAAAAAAATCAGAGAGAGAGGAAAATGAAAAGATTGGTTGGAAAAAATTTGGTTAGATTTTATAAATATCGATTCATACAAGTATGTCATTATGAAAGAAATTAAGGTGCAATGGTGAGTTCAATAGAGCACAAAATAAAATTCCCGGTAACCGCGATAAATGGGATTCTTAAAAATACCGCGAGTGCGTTTGGTGCGTAATGTTTTCTTTAGCTTTTACAACAGTGGTCTCAATTTAAGTTTGGTGCAATACATTATCGGTGCAAAGGTGGTGGGGTCATGTGAATCTTGATATAGTTCAGGAGAGTGAAAGAAAAAATAGTTTTCGGTTACGTAACTTGGTGGGGGGGGGGGGGCATAAAGGTTTTTTCAAGCATCTTTTTGGAGAGTGAAAGAAAAAATAGTTTTCGGTTACGTAACTTGGTGGGGAGGGGGGGGGTCATCAATGTTTTTTCAAGCATCTTTTTAGAAGATGGAAATTTCACCCCTTGCCGTCACCATTGTTTCGCGGCTAAAACTAGTTTGAGAATAATATTTAGATAGTGTCTAGTTTTTTTATCTCTGTTTTACCAAGTTGTAAATGGATTGCGAATAAACGCCGGCCTTTAGATCGTGCGACTTGTGCCCTCGTGCAAGGGCGCCGTGGCCATACAGGCGCCTGGGGCGCCCAGTAAATATTTAAATTCCCCTAGTTTATTATATAGTGAAGTGCAAACACTCGGGTCCGGGGGTCGAGAAACGGTATTCTAACTTTTCGTACAATCGTTTTTCATAAAATGAATTTTCTTGATCAATTATGAAAGTTGCATTCTTAATTTGGCTACTAACACTGGGGTTGGACCAACCGAAAGGGCGTGAAAATTAATTTATCATACCGTATTTCCTTGTCCCTATTACAATTATTTCAGCAAAAAGGAATATGGGGCGCAAAATCGCAAGCGCAAAGCAGAAAAAGTACGTCGTAGGCGGAAAAAGAGCGGAGCCATACATGGACAGGGAAGGGGGCGCCGAACAGGTGCTTCGCACCGCACGAAGGTTTATCTAAGGCCGGCGTTGTGATAATATTAAGTAAGCAAAGGGGATTTAAAATATTAAGTAAGCAAATGGGGATATAAAATATTAAGTAAGCAAATGGGGATATAAAATATTAAGTAAGCAAATGGGGTATCCAAAAATAAAAACGAAATAAAAAAATGTAAACAAAAAAAATGAAAATTCCGTTCATGCTACGAATTGGGGAAGTCCCCCGTACTGAGCAGTACAAATAAATGACCACCAGCAAAGAAAAGGGTCAAAACACATTAGCCGTAGTGAACAAAGAGAATAGCGTCGCTTACAGGTTGAACCTTATGACGTTTTCTTTTTCTTCTTTCTCTGTCACGCCAATGAGGTATTAAATAAGCGACTGGCACATTGATTATGTAAGCGGCTGGCATATTATCTGTTATGTAAGCGACGGGCATATCTGTTATGTAAGCAACTGGCATATCTTTTATTTAAGCGATTGGCATATCTGTTATGTAAGCGGCTGGCATATCTGTTATTTTTAGCGATGGGTATATCTGTTAGGTAAGCGATGGGAATATCTGTAATGTAAGCGGCTGGCATATTTGTTACGTAGGCGACTGGCATAACTGTCAGAGACGTGATCGAAGTACACGATTTTGTTGTTTAAAACATAGAACATAGAAGGTTAAAGTTTGGTTTTTTTGGGGGGGGGGTTTTTTATTTTATTTTTTTGGGATATCAACTATGTTGTTCGTCCGTCAAATCAACCAGGACCATCCGGTCATCCGTTTAATGGGTGGGGCGGGGTCACGGCGTGTGCCCAGGTGGCTTGCTAGTGCGATCTGCGCTCGGAACATGAGTCTCTGGGGTGTATCATGGTCAGATCTACAGGAACGGGAGATATCTGAAAGGTAGAAAGAACCCTTACACACACCACGAGCGCGCGCGCGCGCACACACAGACATGCATACACACACAGACATGCATACACACACAGACATGCATACACACACAGACATGCATACACACACAGACATGCATACACACACAGACATGCATACACACACAGACATGCATACACACACAGACATGCACACACACAACAAGCACGTGCGGGGATTATCTTAAAATAACCCTGACGAAAAAGATAGTCAAATGATATTAGTTAAAATCAATTTAAACAAAAAAAAATATATTTTAATAGTTTACAATAGACTGCATAATGGGTGTAGTTGAAGGTCAATATTCCCCCTTCCCCCCCCTCTTCCCCCCCCCCCCTCAAATCCCCCATGGCTTTGGGAAATGGGGAGATATCCTTTGTAAAAAAATAAATAATTAATAATAATAATAATAAAAATAATGATAAACATATTTTTAAAAGCCTTCATGGACCTTTCTTCAATCAGCAAGGCAAATATCACCTGTTTCTTTTGGTTCGATACTACGTGGTTTCCCGTTACGCATACATGAAAAAAAAAACATATTTAAATGGAGCCGATGTCTTTGATATTTGTTGTTCATAAAACATTAGCAATAGCATATCACTGGATGGATGGATTTTTTTTTTTAAACTAGTAAAAATAAAGTGGTGTAATTTAGCCAACTAGACATGTCAGAGACTAGCTCCCCCCCCTTTCCCCCCCCACCCCCACCCCCCCCCCACCTTGGCCTTTAATACACAAAGTCCCCCGGCAGTCATGATCAGTGTTTCTCAAACTTGTCAGTGTCACAGAACGACATGAGTTATCCTAATTGCAGCTAGGATGAGGATGGGTGAACAATTCATTATTGATTACTTGTTCGATGTTCTTGATTTTTTAAAAGATTTTTTCGGACATCTGAACTAGTGGGATTCAGATCTTTCCTCATCCGTGAACAGCCATTTAAAAACAAAAAAAAACACTAGCTGGTATTAGCTAGCATATTACTTGCATCAAATTATTTAACTGATAGAAGGTGGAGGGAGGGGCGTCCATAAAGTACGTCCAGCTATTTTTGGCCAATTGTTACACCCTCCCGACCCCTGTCACAAACTGACACAAATCTCAGAACCCCCCTCCCTCCCCACCCACCCCACCCCCACCCAAAGTGCGTCACACTTTCAAAATAATAAATTGTTTTTAAAAACAATTAAAAACTTATTTAAATTTAATCTAAAACACGCTTCACTAGTTAACTGTTAAGATGATTAAAAAGTGACATCTTGTGTCAGAATACACCCATCACAACAGGCAATTGAACATCACTGTCAAAAACAGGTTTTTATATGTATGATCAAAAAAAATTGTTTTAATGTGCAACATGACACAAGATCTTTACCCCCCCCCCACCCCGTGTCACAAAGTGTCATACTTTCTTAGACTCCCCCCTACCACCCTTTTTGTGAGCGTGACGTACTTTATTGACCAATGAGCGTATTTGCCCACGGTTTTGATCCCTGTTTTCTGTTATAAGACATCCTAATTTTGTTTATACCAGTCTGGTATAATTGATTGAGAAAACAAGCGATGTTGTAGAGACAACACTTCAAACTTTTGGCGGTGTAGATACAAGACTATGCACTGAATTAATTTAACTAGTTTCAAGCAAGTATTTTGTTCGGTTCCGAAGTTAAAAAGAACGATACGCATTCACGAATTTGTGCCGCAGTGAAAGAAAACATTTTTTTGAATTTAATCACGTGTGTTTGGTTCAACACAATTTGACTCATTGTTGAATGTTTTCTTTCTTCTTTTTTTTTTTTTTTAAATCTTCAGATTTCATCTGTGCAATAGTTTCAAAAACAAAACTTTCTCCTTCGAATCTTTAGATTCACGATTAGTATTTTAGACTTGGGCGTGGCTATTGAGCTCAAAGGTGGTTTCCATAATTTTTCGGGTCAGAGTTACTGTTGCTTTACTAAAAAGTGGAACATAAAATACGCGTTTTTTTTTTCTTAGCAACTGGAAGTTCCTGGTTTGTTGACTATGTTCCTGTGAAGTGTATTATAGTTTATAAAACCATAACGCATCTGCCACAATTTTTTTTCTCTTCTTCATGATCAAAGGTAAAGCCGCAAATAATTATCTGGTATATTTGTATTTGAAATCCCGCTGTAAGTCAACTGAAGAGATTACTGTCAAATTTGGACACGTGTTTTGGGAGTCCTACGGTCTCTGTGATGTCTACATATACACCAAAAAAAAAAATGTTTGTTAAATATTATTTTGTAATGTAATTTTATAATCAACTCCTTTGTTTACCTACAGACGTAGGCTTGCACGAACCCCTCGTCAAATGTGTACCTCCACGATTTTTTTTTTTCAGTTGTTGATACTCGGAGCACAATCCAAATCAATATGAGTCTGAATTTGATAGGAGTTTTGAGACACCGAAGATTTCAGTTGGCTTGTTTTCTTGGTGGAGTGATAATTTATTTGAACAAAGACGTGAATTATGTTTTGATTTAACATTCATTCTTAAGGCTCTAGACATTAAACGGGCTAAAGTGATCGTAAAGAGAAATAAATTCATTCGTTGAAGAAAAAAGAAATGGTGGATAAAAGTGCCCCTTTCATCACTCTTGTATCAGGGGGACGTAAGTTCCCGGATGCGGCTACCATCAGGAACGCGACTTTCGTTGACCCACTCGTCAGTCAGTACGAGTTCATGATCTGGATAGCTTACTACACGTGTGTCGACATGGTCTTGTGTGTGGTAGGGATCATCGCCAACGTCATCAATATCACCACTTTCTCGGCCATGGGCGTCGACGACGGCATCACGGTCGCCTTTGTGTTCCTCTCGTCGTCAGAACTCCTCTGTTGCTTAGCGGCGCTTGGACAAAAACTGGCCATGGCGTTTTGGGTCGTCGAAATGGTGACAGATTACAGCACATGGTTCGCCATACACCCGTACGTCTTCAACTCGTTCTTCGGCCACACGCGCCACTGCATTGTCGCGATACCGGAGTTGATCACCACGTACCTCGCCGTGGTGAAATGCATGTGCGTGACCCGGCCTTTCACCTTCCCCAGCTTTTTCACGTTGAACAAAACCCTGTGGGCGATGAAAGCGATTTGTGTTTTCTCCGTGGCGAGCTACGTCCCGCTGTTCGCCTGCATGGGAACCGCCGACGAGCTCGACCCGGCCGTGAACGCGACCCGGCGCATGCTGTGGTTCGCTCCGTACCGTGACATTGTCAAGGTCATGGTGTGGAGCGGAAGAGACGCATTCTTGGCCTTTGCGTCCCAATCCATCATCCTAATCAGCGTCGTCTTCATGGCCAGAGCGTTAAGCGAGGCGGCCAAACTGCGGGAGAGGCTGAGATCTGGGACGTACGCCGAGGATGTGCCAGAGGCTTCGAGGCAGTCTCCGACAGGTGCCCGGAAATCGGGCGGCGGTGCCCTGAGTGCCAAGGAACTGCAGATCGTCAAGCAGATCGTGCTCATCTCAGTGTTTTACGTCATAGGCACCATCCCAAAGATGGCCGTGCTGCTGGCGTACGCCACGGTGTCAGAGTTCACTCAAGGGGGCGTCTATCAAAATGTGTACATCGTCGCCTCGAAAGGGAGTGAGTCTTCCGAGCTGATTTTGTCCATTGTGAACATATTCATCTATTACAGGTACAACTCCAAATTCAGGCAGTTTTGTAATGCTAGGTGTCTTAAATCGGGCAGTGGCTTAGTCGGGAAATAGACAGCACCAGGGTGCTTTAAACTTGATCATTGCCCTAAGTAGGTTTTGAGATTAGTACAAACGAGTTTCCGTTGACAAAAATTCCTATACGTCTATTCATTTTTACCGTGTAATGAATCACTCATATATATATACTTTGCTTCTGGTGTGGCTGCTTCCTGGTGTAGGCCTGTTGTTTAAATGCCGGTAGGTAGGCTGTAGGACTGTCTGTAGGCCTATTGTTTACAGGCCGGCAGCTAGGGTGTAGGGCGTTCTGTAGGCCTGCTGTTTAAATGCCGGTAGCTAGGGTGTAGGACTGTCTTTAGGCCTGCTGTTTAAATGCCGGCAGGTATGGTGTAAGACTGTCTGTAAGCCCATTGTTTAAAGGCCGGCAGCTAGGGTGTAGGACTGTCTATCGGCCCATTGTTTGAAGCCCAACAGCTGGGGTGTAGAGCCGTCTGTAAGCCCATTTTTTTAAAGGTCGGCAGCTAGGGTGTAGGACTGTCTTTAGGCCTGCTATTTAAATTCCTGGCAGCTATGGTGTAGGACTGTCTGTAGGCCCATTGTTTAACCACCGGAGGGTAGGGTTTAGGACTGTCTGTAGGCCTGCTGTTTAAATGCTGGCAGGTAGGGAGTAGGACTGTCTGTAGGCCCATTGTTTAAAGGCCGTCAGCTGGGATGTAGAGCTGTCTGTAGGCCCATTGTTTAAAGACCGGCAGCTAGGGTGTAGGACTGTCTTTAGGCCCATTGTTTAATGGTGTTAGAAGAGTGGGGGCAACATCTGGTGTTAGAAGAGCATGGCAACGTAGCTGATAGAGGAGTCGGGGAAAAATTTGGTGCTAGATGTGTGGGGAAAAGTTTGGTGCTAGATGTGTTGGGGCAAAGTTTGTTGCTAGATGTGTTGGGGCAAAGTTTGGTACTAGATGTGTTGGGGAAAAGTTTGGTGGTAGATGTGTTGGGGCAAATTTTGGTGGTAGATGTGTTGGGGCAAAGCTTGGTGGTGGATGTGTTGGGGCAAAGTTTGGTGGTAGATGTGTTGGGGAAAAGTTTGGTACTAGATGTGTTGGGGCAAAGTTTGGTGGTGGATGTGTTGGGGCAAAGTTTGGTGGTAGATGTGTTGGGGCAAAGGATGGCACTAGATGTGTTGGAGCAAAGTTTGGTGCTAGATGTGTTGGGACAACATCGCGTGTAGATGAGGGAGGGGGAATCAATTTTAATTTAAAAATTAAATTTATAAATGATATTTTTAATTATTATTATTTATTATTATTTTATTTTATTTTTATTTATTTTAAAAAAAAATGTTTTGGGGGGGAGAGGGGGATTGGTAAAATTGAGGAACTTGGTGCAGGATTTGGATTGGTGACTTATTTGTGTGTGATGAATGACGCCGTGTTATTGTTATGGTTAAGCGGCCAGTGTCTAAGAGTGCGAGCTGAAGGAAGCAGATAGTGGGGAGCAGTGTTGTGAATAAAAATAAAGCAACTCTTTATCAACGTGTGTTACAAAACATTTTCTGAAATCCTGTCATTATCATTTTTATGCATAGTTTATTTTATTTTTTTAGCATTTGTTACATAATAAATAAAGCAAAACAACATAATTCTTATTTAGGTATCAACATATTATAGAAAACATTGTCAGCGGCAAAGATGACTCTACACAGAGTTGTGGCTAACAATTCTCCTTTATATTGCCAAGGAACTTTCTTATTTTTTCTCGTTTAGTTTCGCTTTATAGCAATTTATAGCACTAGTACTCATTGTACTCGTATACAATGTACAAACATAAAGCAAATGCATATAATACAAAGTAAATATACAACAATTTGGAAATTAAAAAAACAACAACATTACAAGCAACAGTCGTTGTCGAATTCATCGTTATGTTGTCACCTGTAAAACATATTCAGGTGAACACGATGGAGGATACCCTCCCCCCCCCCAACCACCCCCCCACCCCCACCCGATGAACTTAACGTAGTCAGCATTCGACACACTGCACATGAAGCACGTGTGTTCACGTTACAACATAGGAAAGTGCCAACTTTTCAGATCTGAGAAATGTAACATTTAAAAAAAATAAAAAATAATGTAATGTAATGCCCATTATAGATATGAATAAATTAATTAATCTCGCTCAATACATGTGATTAAAAGAATAATAATCAGTTTAAGACTTTAAAAAACAACTTTATAATTCAACTGTGTATTATTAGTTTTTTTTACATTTAATCTTGACCATGTTTCCGTTTTCTAAAATAAAAAGATCTCTTGAAATTTAAAATAGATTTTCAAAATCTTTTTGAAAATCATTTCCCTTCTCATGGCAAAGAGGGTTATGTCTTTGGATTACTTCCCTTATCTTATTTTATTTTAAAATTTCTCTATACTTCTACGAATTAATTAAAAAGATTTTTTGATGTTGTTTTTTTTTTTTTAAGTTTTTGATCAATTCAAAGCTAATTTAAAATATTTACATGTCTATGTCAGCGAGGTTTAAAAAAAAAAAAAAATAAAAAAANAAAAAAAAAAAAAAAAAAAAAAAAAAAAAAAAAAAAAAAAAAAACACCAACAGATCTTTCAAAATGAAAAGCTGCAGTTTCAACAGTAACAAATCATACATCATAAATGACTAAGTGAAATGATTTTAATTCCTTTTTTTTTTCCTTTCTTTTTTCCGTTCTGCATAATGTTTATATGCGTATTGGTGTAAATGTTGGTTATTTTTTTCCCTGACTTTTATTATGTATTGTATGTGTGTATTTTTTAAAATGTTTTTTATCAACATAATAACAAAACCATTACAAAGCACATAGGAAAGTGGCCCGCTAGCCTCTAGTTTATCTTATGCGAACCACGTCACATATTTATTATTTTTTTATTTCAAATCGTAATTGGATTTTTTTAAAGAAGAAAAAGAAACACAATTATGCAAAAAAATATTTACATGCTAAAATTTCAAAGAAAATTTCCGATCTTGTTCTGTTTGGAAGCATATGAAGAAGAATGGCCTTTTTAGTACAATACCAATGAATACGTCAATGAATAAACAATTATTTTTTTTTTAAATGTACGCCTGGCAATCATAAAGTGTTTCAGTGTGTATGTGTGGATAAGCTGGAAGGATCTTGGATTTGAATTTGGGGAAAGTCTTTCCTTTGGTAAGGATGCTTCCAGTCCTCGTTTCTACAGCACTATCTCACGTAGTCCGGTCCGGCATCATCACACGAACTCCTGTCCGGCATGCCCTCGTGATTATGGCAAACAAAGTAACAACGTTTCCTGGCCACTGAGACCTTTCGGTATGACCTAATGACCTTACGTAAGCAAAGTGTCACGTGCAACGATGGGACTTTCCGTAGAAAAACAACAGGAAGTGTAGTTGAAGATCAGTGCGCATGCGCGTAGACAAAGATGTCCGTAGATAACTTCCTTTACTTAAAAGCTTTTTTTATCTTCTAGTTTTCGAGACGTGTCGCGTGCCTCTTTAGCCACTGCTTTGGCTTTGTGACGTCAACGCCTCGCATTCGTTCTCCAGATTGTCCTTGACCTCAGACCCGAGTCGAGGTTGGTATTTACCGTTCGCGAAGGAGGTCGTCCTGGGAGGAGGCACCTCTGGGGGGCTTTCTGGTTCTAAAGAGACATATCTGTCGCCCGTTTCCTCGCCGTCGCTGACAGCCCCGTGACGTCTGCGGTGGTGCCTCTTGCTGCTGCGCTCTGTGGAAGACGTAAATGTTGATTAGAGAAAAGTCTAAACTACAAACTGGGAGTCTGCACAATTGAGACAACAAGAAGCGTTATGATGTCTATGTGTCATTATGTCTGTGTCATTGTGTCTGTGTCATTATGTCTGTGTCATTATGTCTGTGTCATTATGTCTGTGTCATTATGTATGTGTACTTATGCCTGTGACATTATGTCTGTGCCATTATGTATGTGTCATTATGTCTGTGTCATTATGTCTGTGTCATTATATCTGTGTAATAATAATGCCTGTGTCCTTATGTCTGTGTCATTATGTCTATGTTTAAAAGGAAGACAACAACACACAAAAATCCCACCCACTTACAACGTTAATTTCATTTATTTATTGGATCTGCCCACTAACACGTTTCAAATGATTTGTGTACGGAGTCCGCCTACTTACCGAGAGCACCGAACCGATCCCTGCGATGACGTAGCAATATGTTCCGGTACATCATGAGACTCAGCACCGCCACGGCCAGTAGCAGTATCAGGAACACGCAGCACGCCACTGACACGGCCAGGAACAGGTGGAACCAGGTGTTGTCTGCACAGGATGAGAATTTTTTTTTTTAAATTTGTTAAGCAGTTGAATCCGTCATATTTACCTCTACCAAACCATTATGAATATCGACCCTCAAAACCCGGGGGGGGGGGGGGGCGCTTGTGCTTCTAGGATGTCACGAAACTTTGAACTAAGCAGACTTAATAAAAAAAAATTTCGTTTATTATTTTAACATCATGTTCGTTAAATTTTCAAAGGCTTTATTTTTCGACTAAAGTTCAATCAACGCTAATCAGGGGTTATATCAAACTTCCTGCGGCGGAGATAACAAATTGTGCAAGCCTAAATGTGTAATTTGTCGGTGCGACATCTGTTCGCTGTAAGAATGGTAGCGAACAGGTCAAAAAGGCAATCTAGTTAAGGGTCATTGCCATCTTTCCGCGGGAAACATACAAACTATTTATATCATTATACCTCGCTTTTTTTATTTAAATTCTTTTTTTATTTTGTTTTATTTATAATGATTATTGTTATTGTTTTTTTATTCTACTTTTGGGGGTGGAAAGGGTAGGGGGAAGTAGGTTAGGAGTCTGAAACGTCCACACCGACTGAACAAGTCAATATGTACAATGAACAAGTCAATATGCACAATGAACAAGTCAATATGTACAATGAACAAGTCAATATGCACAATGAACAAGTCAATATGCACAATGAACAAGTCAATATGCACAATGAACAAGTCAACATGCACAATGAATAAGTCAATTTGCACAATGAACAAGTCAATATGCACAATGAACAAGTCAATCAGCACAATGACAGCGTGCTGTTCTCTGTGACATGACGTTTAAGTTTAGACTTTTACCTTTGCGACTCTTTGATTCTCTTGCTCGATGACGAGCGAAGGCTTTATGCCAAAACGTTCGTTGTTTCATTGCATCCTTTTCTCATGTTCCAACCCCAACCCCCACCGTAACTCCCTTGTACCACTTATTTCCGCTTCATCCAAGACTTTAAAAGTCCACAAACTCATGTTACTCCTTCCCTCCCACCCGACTCCTGTACCCTCCCCAAACTCCCGACCACAGCTAGAAACCCGGTCTCGACCAGTGGTCGGCAAACTCATGAGTCAAAAGAGCCACAAATTAGCAGCAAGACGATTTTTAAAAAAAATTTGAGAGCCAAATTTCTTTTCACGAACCTGTCAAGAACCATGTTTTTCGTAGTCAAACCCGATTTGTGGCCGAATGGCCGAGCCGCGACCCGATCGCTTAAGAGCCGCATGCGGCTCGAGAGCCACGATTTGCCGACCACCGGTCTAGCCATTTCCCTCAACGTACCTGCTGGTTTGACTTCACCAGGACTACAGTTGTTGTGCGTGTCCTCTTTCGTCTTCGTCTTGCTGTGGCCATCTGGATTAGAGATTAGAATTTGACATTACAATTATTTAACAATATTTAATGTTAAAAATCAGGTCACCTTTTGCCGTCACCTGTTAAGATATAATGTTATTTCTTATCGATATTTCTAGAAATTTTACTATCATACAAATGTTGCCCTATTAAAAAAAAACCTTTGTTTGTACAATAACGTAATACGATGTTACTCCTAGCGTCATCATTTTTTTTCTCCCTATGTATTCAACTAGTTAGGTCAGTGGTTCTCAACCTTCTGAATGCCACGACCCTTACTTACAGTTCCTCATGTTATGGCGACCCAGAACCACAAAATTATTTTCGCTTCTACTTCATAACTGTAAGGTATAAGTATTTTCACCCACGTCGTAGGCGACCCCTGGGGAATGTTTTTTCGACCCCCAAAGGGGTCGCGACTCATACGTTGAGAACAGCTGAGTTAGATTCATTTTGAAAAAGCAGAGATTGACTCTAGCCAATGTGATTTGTTTCTATAAGATTCAAACGTGGTTACAATCGTACGAGACTCACTTAGCTCGTGTGGAGTGAACTTCGCCTGACAGGCGACTCTACAAGACGGGTCTCTCATCAGGCTGACGTTGTGGACGCCGTGCTGTCTACACCAGTTGAGCTGTTCGTGCTCCTGTAGATGATGGGGTAGACAGGACTCGCACATACCACTGTAACAGAATTGGTCGTAGCCACAGCAAACTCCATACGGTAAACACTTGTTGGGTTTGTCCGGGGGGCAGATCATTTTGTCAAGGGCTTCTACAGTGGGTCCGCTAGCTGGAATTATTGGGATACTTTTTAGCAAAAATATATAACGTAATAATAATAATAACTATGGTGTGTAAATAAGGCCTGAAACAAAATATAGGCCTTCTGTTTCGATATATTTTTAGTATTATTCGTGTGTGTGTGTGTGTGTGTGGTGTGTCTGCCTCTGTGTGTGTGTGTCTTTATGTGTGTGGTGTGTCTGTCTCTGTGTGGTGTGTCTGTCTCTGTGTGTGTGTGTGAGTGCACGCGTGCGAACCAAATAAAGGAAATTTTTATTCGTTCATTTTTTTTAAAATTTCAAAGCATTGTCAGGTATATACAGAGATATTTTCAAAACTAATGCATAGTTATTAAAATTTTTTTGGGTTGCTTCACGGTTTCCCAATTTGTTTAATAAAAATACCCCACTCCCCAAATCGCGTGACGCCCATGCAACTTCCGTGGGTGGGTGAAAGATTATAAGCTGTCGAATCGTAGTGCCGCCCCTCTCTCTTTCCTTTGAATTTATGTTTAAACACCACTTTTCATGTAATAGTTAACATTATGGATTGTGCACTTTAACTTTTTACAGCAAATAAGAAGTGTGAATTTTAGTTGAATTTTGAACGATAGCAATTGAGGTTTGAATCAACACCAATTTGCTACACGCCCGGGAATGTGTATAATGTATCATTCAACAAGCCACAAAAAAAAATAAAGTTTTTTGTATAAACCCTTTGGAAAATGTCATATTGAGCAAATAACCTTGGGGGGGGGGGTGAAACTTTCACAAAAAAATACAAAAAAGTAACGCATTTAATCCCCAATTAGTGCATCCCCCACTCCCCCGGCTCACATCCGTAATTTGTTCACGCCCCTGATTATATTACTATTCTAATGTCCCACCCTTTGATTCATTTCACCAACTAGACTAGATCTATTTCAGGAGAAACAAAAAATATTGCGCACCAAACGCACTTGCGAAAATTGTTTTAAAAAAGAATATCATTTAGCGTAATGATCGGAAATTTTATTTCGAGAAATCATATTTCCTTCAACTTCCCATTGAAGAACATTACAAATGATTTGTGTATAGAATGTCTTGTCATCGGCAACGAGTCTACGTTTCAGCTCAATATGTTGACGGGAAGTGGGTCAGATAGCCGTCCGAAGATTTTGCCACGCACCCAGCGCGAAAGAAACACGAACAAGTAATTATAAAGGATTTTAAAAGGTACAAGATAAAAGGTGGGGAGCTACAGTTTGTGACTCGAGCGGGTGGTCATTGAAGTAGCCGCCCCCTCACTTTACAAAAATGTAATCATTTAAAAAAACAAAAACCATGATACCAGTACACAACAACCTTGAGCCATATAAATATATCCCATTGGCCTTCACCAAAGTGACGCCCCCGATTCATACGCCTCTGGGCGCACGCCCTTATCGTTAATTCATTCAATATAATATGACGTGACTGAGATGCGCACTAAGACAGTGGAGCTGGTGTTGTCCAGCCCGTCTACCGGCCTGTTAATAAGTAGCTGAGTTCTATTTGATTTTTTTTTATTTAAAACACTATTTTAAAAAAAAAATTATATGCGTTTCAAAGACTCAGCCACTACTGATATCACGAGATTCAAGAACACTCCTGGATACATCTTTTGTTAGGTAGAAATGTTGATTGACAGCTGTGACCTAAATTCTAATATCTTGATCAACACGCCAATGACAGTTGCCGTGAAACTTTTGGAAAATCCCCAATCATATTGTGTACGCGCAGCTTTCGATTTGTGAGGGAACATTTCAAACGTGCTTTTGTGTTTATGAGAGTGCATAAATATTTATCATTAATATATATATATATATATATATATATATATATTCATGCACTATCATAAAACTCTCATATATATATAAAGGGCACGTATAACGTATACTAATGTTATATAAATCTATAAAGTGATATCAAGATTCACATCTATTCATGAAATTTTACAAAACTATGGTGGGGTTTCGTTCAGAGAAATAGAATTGAAATAGAAGTGAAATAGAAGTGTTTTAAAAAAAAATCATGGTCATTTTTATCAACATTCTTTATGTTGCTTGAGAAATAATTGTGAACAATACTAATAGGCCTATATATATATATATATATATATATATATATATATATATATATATATATATATATATATATATATACACACAAATATGAAGTGTATCCCCCCCCTCGGCCCCCCTTCCCTCGACATCCTGGTGACGAAATTAAACAAATGAAAACATATATAACATGACTAATCATTATTTAACAAGGAAATAATATATTTTATACATGTATATTTAAATACATAGCCAGGATCTGGATTATTAGTGTATAACTAACAGACGGAAGTGATCGAACACCGAAAATGGGCGGGGTGGGGGGGGGGGAGGGGTGATATTTCCTTGATTGAAACACGAATTTGTTCAAATGTATATTATTCCTTTATTGAGTCATTGACCGTTAACATTGCTAAACAGACTTTTTTCAATTTACAATGCTTTAATTTTTTTTTTAAATTTTTTAAAGATATTGTGTTTCATCTATCTAATGCTAGTCATACTCTTACCTAGTAAACATGGGGGCAGCAAATGCAGGAAAAACGCGAAGAGTAACATTTTCTTTGTGTTCAAAAAGTAGGAATAATCAAATCGGTAACCTGAAACAAAACGAAAAATAATAATAATAGTAAAATGAATTTTAATACGGAAATGTAAAAGCTCTACTTTTTGACACACGTATTAGTCTAAAAAAAAAATTAACTAGCTTTTTCACAAGTCACACGCTAAATGGTTCAACTATCACACGAGCTTCGCTGTTCAAGAAGGCGGGATTTGCCGAGTTTCCATAAAACCTTGCGTACGAACTTATTGTTCAAAGCGTCTCATGGCTGTACGTTTGTAGCTACCTACAAGTATCACATACCATTTTAAGGGCAAATGAATGCTCTTTAATTGATTTTAGGTACTTGTTAAAATTGATTTGGGATATATATTTTAGGCTTTTTTTTTTTTAAAGAATATTACAGAAAATAATTTGTGTGACAATAATTAATTTTTAAACGTTATTTGGTATATATATATATTAAAACAAAAATGATAAAATTGTCTCTTAACATAAACATAACTACTGATAAAAATGTGTAAAAAAATATAAAAAAAATAAAAAGACGAAATAAATTTTAGTTATAAACTATTTACAAACCCACAGAGAAAAACAATCGTGCACACAAAAGTATTCCTCTCTACAATAGACTCCAGGAAAACAACAATCTAACTTATCAGCCAAATTTTACTTCCTTATATAGTAAACGACCGGCGACGAGATTTCAAAGCCTTTTAAATGAAGCTATACCAGGAGTGGGAGGTGAGTGGGTGGGGGACTTGTGTAGTAGACTTTGGATACATCACGGGGGGGGGGGTTGGAGGGGGGGAGATCCCCAACAAAATCTAAAGAGGCTCCGCCCCCCCCCCACACACACACACACACTTTTAATCACACCTCCTAAAGTTTAAAGAGATTCATGATACAAATAATCAGTGAATCATAGTATATCATGAAATTTACACTGTTTAAATGTATTTTAAATCGTAGGGCTTGGCAGAGTGGGTCGATGATCTGATAGAAATGGGTTCTTGTATTTTTGGGGGGTGGAGGTTAAGAGTTTAACATTATGACTCACTAATTATTGATCATGTCACAGTCTTACACACATCTTGTAAATTTCTTACTCTCTGGATAGCTTATGTATAGACGAATCTCGGATTGTGATGTCACCGCTATGCTTGATTATTCGATAGATTCCTACAATGTCTTAATCTTAGATTAATTTTAAAAGCCATTACAGAAAATTTCTGTTAATTTGAAGATGATGATCAAAAGATATATCATAGCAGAACGACGAGAGAAGTATAAAAAAAAAAAAAATGTTGGTCATTATTTTAAAATAAAGTCAAGGAATGGACACAGGAGCAAGCGATTACCACACAAGCGATTACCACAGCAGTGAAAGGACGCTCAGTCGAAACATACAGAACTTTGAGGACTTCACATTTTACAACAGATCGTTTTCAAAATATATCCTGAAGCCCTTTAAGAAATGGCCCTCAAAAATAATCACTGGATCATGCTATGTAAACTTAACTTCTTGATTAGATAATAATTAAATTTTGATAAAATATATGATTAAATTTGTATTAAATTATATTTAAGCGAAGAATAAACTATGATTAAATTTTAATTAAATTATTATTAAACTTGGCATGTCTTCTTTAAATATTCTCAAATTTTCAGATCGCACGAGTACAACTCTTTTTTTAAATTCTTTTTTTTTATTTCTTATAACACACAACGTTCACTATGTTCTCTTCAATTCCTTAATAAATTGAGGAATTTATGTTAATTTATCGCCATACCTTCAATTTCAGAATGAAAATTCCCAAGTATATCCTTCCAATGTTCTCGTACGAATGAGTGGGCTCTAGCTTGGTTATGGAGCTTTTATAACTGGGCCTAAAATTCCAACATTGATTCATAAATTTAACGGGCCTGTGACAAGGTGTTTTCCCACACGCGAAGGCGTTTGCGATCAATATTTCAAGGGCACCAACCACTGCATGTCAAAATCACGTGGAGTCACCCACCCTTCATTGTTAAGTATGCAAAGTGATCTGCCGAGCCTATCCCCGGGTATCTTTTTTTAGAGATATCCTAGGTCAAATTCCTCATTTTAGGGTGTGAATGATGTTGTTTGTTTTTTTCCAGAGGCGAATCCATTACACGATTAAAAGTAGAATAATACGAAAGGATAAGATCCATTTCAAGAAATTGTGGATGACAAAATACATTTGTTTATCAAAATGAAAATAAATTATTATAATTTTTCCAAAGATGTTCACGGGAATAATTTTTAAAAAAATTTAAATAGATACACATGTCCTTCCTCCGTATTCCGCCACTGCAAAACAGCTGACAGATAAACATGTATATGTATCATGAGATAAGTCATTAGCTATATGTCTTCTTCAGTGCAAAAAAAAAAAAATCTACTGACTGTACTTGTGAATCCAGTGATAAGAAATTAATTTTTAATTTTTTTTCTTCTGAAGACCTTGAACCACTTGAACCCACTGTCCCTGTGCTGAATCCCTTGAGGTCAATCCAGTAGGGGTCACATCTTGACCATCTTCTTGTCGTTTTCTGGAGAAGTGGTTCTAATATATGGATGGACCTGATGGGGACCCTAATGATTGTGGTCGACGTTCAACAGTGCTGTAGTTTTGCCAGGATTGCAGTACTTCGCTGTTGGCAATTTTGAAAGTGTTAAAACTAGAGCTTGACTTTTGTGCAGCTGTTTAGTTTGTTGGAGTTCAGAGTGTTTTTTTTTTTTTTTTTTTTTTTTTTAAAGCTAGAAACCCGGCAAGAATGGTTTAAATTATGTGGTCATTAGCGGTCAATGAGTCAAAATTATTTGTTGCGGATTTGGTAAATGAGTCAAAATTATTTGTTGCAGATTTGGTAAATGAGTCAAAATTATTTCTTGCAGATTTGGTAAATGAGTCAAAATTATTTCTTGCAGATTTGGCAGATTAGTCCAAATAATTCTTGCAGATGTGGTAAATTAGTCCAAAAAATTCTTGCAGATGTGGTAAATTAGTCCAAAAATTCTTGCAGAGGTGGTAAATTAGTCCAAAAAATTATTGCAGATATGGTAAATTAGTCCAACAAATTCTTGCAGATGTGGTAAATTAGTCCAACAAATTCTTGCAGATATGGTAAATTAGTCCAACAATTTCTTGCAGATGTAGTAAATTAGTCAAACAAATTCTTGCAGATGTGGTAAATTAGTCCAACAAATTCTTGCAGATGTGGTAAATTAGTCAAACAAATTCTTGCAGATTTGGTAAACCCCCACCCTCCCACTCTCTTCATATATCTTTCCTCCTCCCACCACTCCTCCTCAAGATATAAATACGTATGCAGGGCCGTGCAGACAGGTTTTTTTTGTCCCGAGGAAATCTACATTTTGGGCCCTTAGAAAATTCAAAAGAATTGTATCAAAAGTATAACTTTTCGCACTTGGTGACACCCAATCGAGCAGGGCCCCAAGTGATATACTAGGCTGCCCCAACTTCTGCATGGCCCTGTATATATATATATATATATATATATATATATATATATATATATATATATATATAATAGAGAGAGAGAGAGTTGTGGGGAGAAAGNTTCATTCAAACTAAAAACTTAACAATGTTCGTGCTGAAACAATATTTTGTTGTTAATTTTTTTTTAAAAACCATGACTGGCATATTCAATTATTTCGGAATGTCAAGTGGGTATGTGAGTGAAAAGAGGTGTGTGTGTGGGGGGGGGGGGGTTGGGTAAAGGGTGAGAGAACCGGCCTGCGTCGTAACATTGGGATTTTCCAGTTAACCTTCATTCAGAGTTTCGGTGACGTTAAGATCTTTGACCTCGTTTTTGATATAATGCGCACTTTTTTTTTTCTCTCGTGATTCTTCCACTGAAGAGAACAAACTCTAGTCTCCGGTGTTAAATGACGTAACAGAATCTAGTACCCGTATCAAGTCGTGTGACTCAGTATTATGATAGCAATCAGAAAAATAAGAGGGGGGGGGGGAACAACCTAAAACGAGAAATTTCTAGAACTTTCTTTGAGTCTTGTGTCTTTGCTGAATTGTAAATACAAAGACTGAAAAAAGTTGATAACCATCCTAGAAAAAAGGAGACGGTGAGACGGGAAGGCAGTAAGGCGGGAAGACAGTGAGACGGGAAGACAGTGAGACGGGAAGACAGTGAGACGGTAGGACAGTAAGACGGGAAGACAGTAAGATGGAAAGACAGTAATACAGGAAGACGGGAAGACAGTATGACAGAAAGACGAGACACATGGAAAAATAATTATTCAATGTCCTGAAACTTTGTTCATTCATTCTGGCAACAATTACAAAAATGGTCAAATAATTTCTTTAGCATTATGGGCGACATTTCTCGTCTGGTGCACCCCCAGAAGCAGATTTACGTAAAAGCTAAATAAGCTAGAGCTTAGGACCTCAGTAAGTTTAAATCCGGTCCCCTGCACCCAGGCCCGGCTCAATGGACCGGCGACTCTTGCGGTTGCCCGGGGCGCCATCCATGTGCTTAGGGCCCCACCAACGATCTTCCAAAATAGGAAAAAAAAATCATTGCATGTGGGTGCCATGGAAGAAGAATATAAAGTGCAATCCAATAATTTGCTGAACCAAAGGCAAGAAACAAAAATATCATCAGTAGGCTTATTTGTTCATAATGTCCACGGTAGGCTAATTGCTGATTCTGTCCAGGATAGGCTAATTGTTCATACTGCCCGCGGTAGGCTAATTGTTCATTCTGTCCAGGATAGGCTAATTGTTCATACTGCCCGCGGTAGGCTAATTGTTCATACTGCCCGCGGTAGGCTAATTGTTCATACTGCCCGCGGTAGGCTAATTGTTCATACTGCCCGCGGTAGGCTAATTGTTCATTCTGACCAGGATAGGCTAATTGTTCATACTGCCCGCGGTAGGCTAATTGTTCATACTGCCCGCGGTAGGCTAATTGTTCATACTGCCCGCGGTAGGCTAATTGTTCATACTGCCCACGGTAGGCTAATTGTTCATACTGCCCGCGGTAGGCTAATTGTTCATACTGCCCACGGTTGGCTAATTGTTCATACTGTCCAAATACAAGTTAAGATAAACTCATGACCTAACCCTTAGTTTTTTCCTTGCACAAATTTTTTATGATTATACTTAAAAGAGGGCGCCAAAGTTAAGCTTGCCTGGGGCGCCAGCAGCCGTAGGGCCGGCCCTGTGTGCGCCCGTATTCTTCATTGTATGTTTGGCCAATACAAAATTTGTAGTAGTGGTATTGATTTTTTTGTTCTACATTTTACATGTTAAAGGTTGGGGGGGGGGGGCGGTGGAAGGGGGCGCCTTAAAACAATATTTTATTTTAAAAAATAAACATTGATTCAACGTGTTTTGTGATTTAGCGCGGTTTCTAGAAAATTCGCGTGGGTTTGGTTGCGTCATTGACACCAAAACCTGACTACTCCAGTCGAATAACCAACATAATCCATACGCCAAAGGAATGTTATTCACGGAGAAATCGCTTTATTTTTATAGTTTTTCTTCAAAGGCTTATAGCACTAGCCTGTCACCGAATTACCACGCGTCGAGAGTAAATAAATTGTTATGAATGTTGGAATGCAATTCTAAAAATAGACCAGGAAAATTCCCCCACTACGGGTTCATTCACAAGTGACAGTCTGTGCTTGTGACAGCTTGTTATACTGTTAGCCAGCTGAGTCGCGTTCCCAAAATTGAACTTTCGGTTTACGGCTTGGCTTAATCGGGGTTGTTTTTATTCCAGGGGGAGCTAAAGCGTTTCATCCTACAATTTGAAGTGCACCCATCCCCCTTCACAACCACCCCCCCCCCCCTTTTTTTTTAAATGAGCTACAAAACGATTAACAATGTTATACTGTTAGCCAGCTGAGTTGCGTTCCCAAAATTGAACTTTCGGTTTACGGCTTGGCTTAATTGGGGTTGTTTTTATTCCAGGGGGAGCTAACGCGTTTCATCCTACAATTTGAAGTGCACCCATCCCCCTTCACAACCACCCCCCCCCCCCTTTTTTTTTAAATGAGCTACAAAACGATTAACAGAGGTTCTCATTCTGTGAGTTGATTAAACAATTCGGTTAAAAGCTGATTTAATTGGATTACAGTTGGTGTTTGTGATGGATCCCTGAGAAACAGACGGAGTCGTTAAGCGTCTAGACAACTGCGCAGCTATGTGCCGTTGCTACACCATGACATTGCTACACAATTATGTGACATTGCTACGCAACTATGTGACATTTCTACTCCACTATGTGACATTGCTACACAATGACATTGCTACACAATGACATTGCTACACAATGACATTGCTACACAACTACGTGCCATTGCTGCACAATTATGTGGCATTGCTATACAACTATGTGGCATTGCTATACAACTATATGACATTGCTATACAGCTATATGGCATTGCTACACATCTATATGGCATCGCTACACAGCTATATGGCATCGCTACACAGCTATATGGCATTGCTATACAACTATATGGCATTGCTATACAGCTATATGGCATTGCTACACAGCTATATGGGATCGCTACACAGCTATATCGAATTGCTACACAGATATGTGGCATCGCTACACAACTATGTGGCATTACTACACAACTAAGTTGCATTGCTACACAACTATGTGACATTGCTATACAACTATGTGACATTGCTACATAACTATGTCTCATTGATACACAATTATGTGACATCGCTACGCAATTAAGTGGCATTGCTACACAACTATGTGACATTGCTACACAGATATGTGGCATCGCTACACAACTATGTGGCATTGCTATACAGCTATATGGCATCGCTACACGGCTATATCGAATAGCTTCACAGATATGTGGCATCGCTACACAGCTATGTGGCATTGCTACACACCTATGTCAATGTGTTAAGCACTGCTATTAATAGAGAGAAATTAATCTCCTAATTACATGTATGGCTCGTTCCAAAACAGAGCATAACGAAAGACGATACCAATTGA